TTCTTCTTTCTTCTTTCTTCTTTCTTCTTTCTTCTTTCTTCTTTCTTCTTTCTTCTTTCTTCTTTCTTCTTTCTTTTCTTTCTTCTTTCTTCTTTCTTCTTTCTTTTCTTTCTTCTTTCTTCTTTCTTCTTTCTTCTTTCTTCTTTCTTCTTTCTTCTTCTTTCTTCTTTCTTCTTTCTTCTTTCTTTCCTTTCTTTTTTCCTCTTTATTTTCTTTTTTCCTCTTTATTTTCTTTCTTATTTCTTCTTTTTTTTCTTTCTTATTCCTTCTTTATTGTCTTTCGTATTTCTTCTTTATTTTCTTATTTCTTCTTTATTTTCTTATTTCTTCTTTATTTTCTTATTTCTTCTTTATTATTTCTTCTTCTTTATTTTCTTATTTCTTCTTTCTTTTCTTTCTTATTTCTTCTGTATTTCCTTATTTCTTCTTAATTTTATTATTTCTTCTTTCTTTTTTCTTATTCCTTCTTTATTTTCTTTCTTATTTCTTCTTTATTTTATTATTTCTTCTTTTCTTTCTTATTTCTTCTTTATTTTCTTATTTCTTGTTTTCTTTCTTCTTTCTTTCTTTTTTTCCTTCTTTCTTCTTTCTTTTTTTTTCTTATTTCTTCTTTATTTTCTTTCTTATTTTTTTACTGTTTGGTTTGACTTTGAAATGTTCCCCCTCCCCCAAGTTCTGGCTGGGAGGGCCTTTTTATAAAGAGAAAACTTCAGCCTGCATTGCTGTAAAGTGATTTTCCTTATTTTCCCCATCCTATCCAGGCCTGCTGGTGTGTGAGGGGAGAGGAAATCAGGCTGACAGGACCAAATGCTGTCTGAGCAGCTGCTCCTTCTGGCACCACTCACAGCTTCCCTGGGCCTCCTGAGGGACAGTGCAAAAGTCCAGGAAGAGGCAACCTTTTAACAGAGAAAAATTCACAATTCTATCCAATTTCTTGGCAGTTTCCTGCTGGTGCATCATTCCCAGTGGATGTGCCACAGCCCAAGGGGAGGGGAGAGCAGCAACCAAGACACCTCTGCCTTTTCCTGGGAACAGGAACCCCCAGGCTTCTCAGCTTGCCCAAAATCTGCCTTTGAAGAGGTGTTTGAGGGGGACTCCAGAGGCAAACCTCCCAAATCAGAGCTGTCTGTCATCAGTAAGGAATAGAATCAAGGATTTGCTTTTGTTTGTGGAGTTACCCATGGTCATGGGAATTCAGGGAATCCTGGAAGGGGTTGGGTTGGGAGAGACCTTAAACCTCATCCAGTTCCAACCCCAACACCTCCCACCAGCCCAGGTTGCTCCAAGCCCCGTCCAACCTGGCCTTGGACACTTCCAGGGATCCAGGGGCAGCCACAGCTTCTCTGGGCAACCTGTGCCAGGGTCTTCTCACCCTCCAGCCAGGAATTCCTTCCCTGATTTCCAGTAACTCGTCCCCTGCAGCCCCGGGGCCATCAGCTGTGTCCTGCTTCCAGGACTCCCCCTTTCCCACTCTTTTTCAAAACCCAAATAGTTTCCCCCAACCACAACTTTTCCCCTCAACCCCACAGCAAGGAGTTTGTGGCTTGAATGTGTCTTTTCCAAGAATTCCTTGGGAATGATCCCCAGGACAGCCCTGATGGAGGGTCAGAGCTGTTGTTCCCGCTGCAGGCTGGGGAGGAGCAGACACTGCAAAGCCTCCAAGGTGATACATGACAAATAAACATCCCAAATCCCTCTGAAGTCATGGCACGTGATCCCATGGAAGTTTGGATCCTGATCCTGCTATTAAAAGATCCCTGCTCACAGCTCTTGGCACCATGCTCTCTAAACTGGGAAGCTGGAATTGCTGCTCCCATCCCACAGCTGCTGGGAGGTGGGGGAAGGAGAGTCCAATTCCTGTGTGTTCTTCTCCACGTGCTGATCAGGTTTGCAGGAAAGATTCTCTTCTTTTGGGCTTTTTTTGGTCAATTTTATTTTAAATTTCCTTTGCTACACAGTTTCCAGTGGAAACATGAGCAATGGATGTTGTAGGAAGGAGCACGTGGCAGGAATCAGAGAATGTTTTGTGGCTGAATAAATGCATTTTCCTCTTTCCCCCTTTTAAGTTCAAACAATAATCTGATATTTTTTTTTTTGCTTTCCTTTGTCCCTGTGCCTGTTTGGTCCTTCATTTGTCCTCCTCTGCACAGTGGGCAGTGATCACACCTCGATGGCTGCAGCCAGGAATTCCAGAGGGCTGGAGCAACCAAACTGATTCCTAACAGATTCCTGACTGATTTCTAACCCTGCAAAGCCTTCAGAGGATGGGTGTTGTAGTTTGGGGCTTTTTCTTGGCCAAATTTTATTTCAAATTTACTTTGCTACACAGTTTCCCAGTGGAAACACGAGCATCCCCCAAGGAGCTGGAATTTAGGGCCTGTTGTAGGAACCAGAGAATGTTTTCTTTGTTTAGATAAATGTATTTTCCTCTTTCCCTCTTTTGATTTAAAACAATAAGCCAAGGTTTTTGCTTTCCAGGATCCCTGTTCCAGTTTGGTCCTTGGTGGCTGAAGCCAGGAATTCCAAGAAGCTGGAGCAACCAGACTGATTCCTGAATTCCTAACCCTGAAAACCCTCCACATGATGAGTGTTTTGGCTTCATTCCTGATAAATCAGGGCTTGGGAGATGAGGGCAAAACTGGGAAAACTGTTGGGTGATTCCAGCTCTTATTGGATTAAAAGTAACACATGAAATGTTGTGGTTTCCCAACCACTGGAAAAATTCCTCATCATCCAATGGTTTGGGTTGGAAGAGCCCTTAAATATCATCCAATTCCAGCCCCTGCCATGGGCAGGGAACCTTCCACCATCCCAGTTTCCATCTGAGTTTGTCCTCTGAGAGGCATTTTATGTGGATCAGAAGAGCACCAGAGCCTAAACAAAAGAGTCCACCCTGGGTAAAACCTTGGGGTTCGTTTGTTTTAATGAATTTTTCTGTATTAATTAACACTCTGATGGTCTCTGCAGGGACCTCCAGGACATCCTGGCTCATCCCTGAGCTGCTCCTGTGTTTCCATGGCCCCTGATGGGACTCAGAGATGTTTGCTGACCTCCCTTGGAGGTGCCCCCAAAGCCCAGGGAGGGAGGGGGTTGGTGTCTTAAACAACCCTGTACAGAGTGATGGGGTGGGTCTCAAAAGGTGTTTAAATGCAAAATATAACTATTTATCTTCCAGGAAAACCAGGTTTCAAACCCAGGGGATGTTCTCTGATTTTTTGGGTATTATTTTTGTGCTGGTTTCGGGCAGGTAAAAGGTGACACAACTCATTTGCAATTAAAATGTGATGAAGTCCAGTTGTTTTTTTTTCCCCCCATTTCTCCTTCTGTTTAACCTGCAGCTGATAAAAATCAGCAATTTCTAGTTCATACAGTCAAATGCTTGGACTGTGATATTTGTACAGCACTGTTTTATTTTCTGACACTGCAGGGACCGAGTTATTGAAGCATTTTTATTGGACTCAGAGAAAATATGCTGCTGTTCTACCTGATTTGAGAAGTTCCTCTTTTCTGTGGTTTTTATAACCCATCTCCTGTGGGAAAGGTCCTGGAGCTGGAGTTCCCTGCCAGGTATTTCCTGCCATTAGTGAATATCCCAGAATGTATAAAAAGGTTTTGCCAAAGGACAGAACTGCTGTGTAATTGTGCACTCAAATCTTACATATATTGGTGTGGTTTAGAATTTGGTTGCAGCTGTAAACCCTGAAGAACTGCAGAGGGAACTATTAGGGGAAGTTTTGTCTTTACAAATGCTATAAAACTGCTTTTCCTGCTGTGTTTTCCCCGTGCTTTGGACAGATCAAGTCTCCAGTCGTGTGTGGAGTTTGGGTTGTCTCCCTTAATTTGCTTGATAGAATTGATCAGGATAAAAAGTGTGGCTTGGATAAATGTAAACTGGTTGTGTGTCAGAACTGATGTTGTGAGGAGACATTCACTCCTAAGAAATGTCTGTGAATTTAAGTCAATATTATTCAGGATTTACAATCCTGATCATTGATTTGAAGTGTCTCAAGAGCTCGCTGTGCTCTGGGACCTGGGTCTGTGTGACAGCACCTGCATATTGAATTTTGCTCCCAAAAAATGGCACAGACACCACAGACTTTGCCTTTTCTCCCTTTTTCCTGCACAGAAAATCACGGAATTCTGGAATCCTGGGCTGGTTTGGGTTGGAAGAGACTTTAAACCCACCCTGTTCCGACCTCAGGGACACTTTCTGCTATTCCAGGTTGCTCCAAGCCCCATCCAACCTGGCCTTGGACACTTCCAGGGATGGAATACCACAAAGGGGTGGTCCTTCCCTTTGTGTCTTTCAGTGTCTTTTTGGATTCTCAGATTCCCTGTGCTGGGAATTGCAGCTCCTTCAAGGGACAAGTAGCTGCAAAGTTTGGGTTGGGAGGGACAGTTTCAGCCCAAAGCACCAAATTCTCCCTTAGACCAATCCTTTACCAATCCATTCATTACATTCTGCTTTATTACAGGTCAGGAAAGGGAAAAAATGCCTGGATGAAGTGAACTTTTCAGTCTCCCTGGAACTGAGGTGGCTGAGCTGGAAAAGGGGCTTTGGTTGGAATGCAGCAGTTTGGGAGGGTGCAGTGCCACAATATCCAGTGTGTACTGGATTTGGGGGTTTTATTCCAGTGCCTGGGCGTGGATCCCAGTTTTATGGAGTGCAAGGTCAGTGCAGAGCTGAGCTTGCTTGGGGTGAAGCTCGTGGGACCTTCCCCTTGCCCCAGATCCCACCAGGGAGGGGGTTGGAATGATCTGGATGTGACTCTGAGCAACCTGGTCTGGTGGGAGGTGTCCCTGCCCACAGGGTTGGAACCAGATGGGCTTTAAGGTCCCTGCCAACCCAAACCAGTGTGAGATTCCATGATTTACCCTTCCCACCCACAAGCTTTGGCATCTGGCTCCTCACCCCTCCAAGCCCCCCTCTGTGCTCCCAGGATAACCCTGCCAATGTGCCTGTCAGAGATGTTTGCTGCAGAGCTGTGCACGAACAGCAGCCACAATCACAGCAGGTTTCCTGGGGCTGACAGCCCAGATTAAAAATGTATAACCCCCTGTTTTTATTAATGCAGGTGCTGTCTGTGAAACCACACACCAGGCTCTTCTGGTTGTTGTACAAAGCAGGCAAACGAGGGCTGTCCTGTTCCTCCTCCAGCTGTCGGAGCCACGGCTGGGAAAACAAACTGCTGCTCCCCTTTCAAGTCTCTCCTGACTAGCATTAATATGGAAAATTCAAAACAAACGCATTTTAAAGCCCATTTGACTCTGCAGAGCCCAGTTTGATATTTCAGGAAGTATTCCTAGTAAATAAAAGGCATCTGGAAGCTCGGCAGGAGTGTTGGCAGTGGGGCAGAGCTGAGCTGCTGGGGGAGGAAGGAGGGATGCTCCCAGCTGGGATGGGGCTGGATCTCCTTCCTGTGGGCCAGGGATGGGAGTGATTTTTCCACCTGTTTGTCTTGAAGTACAAACTAGAGTGTTTGGACTTGGACACAAAATCCCAGGATCACTGAGGGTGGAAAAGCCCTCCCAGCCCATGGAGTCCAACCTG